CCACTGGCCCCTGGTGCCTAACTTTTGCCCTTGGGCGACTAGAAAGTCTTACTTTTATTGTACAAAACAGGCTGGGCACCCTTGATTTTACAGATTAAGCATGCTGGGCTTCCTTCAGTTTCCCTTAGAGCACAACCTTGTAATATCCACATACAAATTCTCCATACTAATCCCCATACATTTCCTGAAAGAAATTGTTGGGAGAATTTGATCAAAGATCAAGGCATTTTCTCTTGGTGATCATTTTCCTTGATTCTCTTAACCTTTTCTCTGAATTCTGCAGTGATAATGTTGTGAGATAATTGTAGTTGGTCACTCTTGAGACTCAACCCTTTAAACCCTAACATCAAAATTCAAATTCTCATTTGTTATCCCTATACATTTTCAATAGAAGTAGTCAGGAGAACTTGGTGATATATCAATAGATTCTTGTGTGATCTTGCCCGTAATTCTCATGACCAGTCTGCTTTACAAAGCATTGATATTACTAGGAGAAATTTGATGCTGATCACTCTTGGGGCTTAAAGGATTAATGGGTTAAACCATGCAAAAACGCAGTTTTTAACTTTCAAGGGACAGAGGAAACTAACTGGTTAAACCTCTACCCTCAACCAACACTGTTTTATTTTCATTTTCATAGTTTGGAAGGAAGATTTGATGATGATGACCTTCAGCAGTTTCTTGATGACATTCAGACCCACAGGAGCTTTCAATACTAAGTGGCTATGGATGGAGTTAAGGAAAAGACAGCTTTCCACCAATCTGACTCTTTTATTTAACATTACACTAGTGTGTAAATGAACTTTGATATCCATGCCCAGCTTAAACAAGTTAGATTGGAATGCCTGCTAGTACTGAACAGTAGCTGCAGTCTCAATTCCCCTGCAGATTTAAATTGAGACTACCCCATTGAGTTGAAAGGATCCCAACAAAACACACAGTGTGTCTGTAAATGTAAATGTATGTATTACCACATTACTGTCCTTGATTCGCTTCTCCTTTCTGTATGATTGACCCTCAATTCTCTCTTTCTCTGTCATGTATATATTTTCTTGTTGGTTTGATAATGTCTTAAAGCAAAACAGCTACCTCTTTTGCTCTATGCCAAAGGTCTCTAGTTTTACGTTTTTAATTAATAGTTTTATTTGTTCCCCGAAACTAATAGTCGTTACAATAAATCTTACAGTAAAAAACAATCAAAGAGTGGTGGTTTCTAAAGTTTCTACAATTACGTAGGTGAGGCCGAGAACTTTTGATTAAGAGTTATTGAATGGCTTCAAATGGCACCTGCACAGGTTGTCGAAACGTCGATAGTGAGCTTAAGCAACTACGACGGCGTCGTCAACGAGAGCGGCAAAAAACCAATAGGTTTAGATTCTTGGCAAAACAACAACTTTGCACGTTTTATCACGCTTTTTTTGTACATTTCTTTGTCGTCGCTGCACGACTACGACATGAAAATGCCTAATTTCACGTTTTGTGGAGAACGTGACCACAAGACAACAACTTTATTTCTATTTTCCTGAACTTCGAAACAATCTTTTAAAATTCAACTCCAGAAAAAAATTGCCAACATTTGACGAACTGAACCAAATGGAATAAGCGCGATAAAGTTTGAAGTAGCGCGAATTTTTAAGTGACGTTTTCGTAACAATTAAACAATTAAACCGTTAACAAAAAGTGCTACTTAGGACTACACCCACCGGGATGATCATGCTCCACCTACTCCTAAAAAATTTATGTATTTTTGCGTCATTTCCCTCTATTTCTCCCGCCTCCCGCCTCCCATACCATTCCGGCCCTCTATTCTCCCGGGCTTCTGCCCCCCTCTGTCCTACCCCACAAGCGAGGTTTCTTTTCAGTTTTTACAAGCTATTTTTCTTATCAACAGTTTCACTTCTTGTCGAATGTCTTTCAACCTGCAGTTGTAGAGAAGAGGGTTTAGCGCAGAGGACAGAAAGCAGAGTGTAGCTGCGACATGAAAAATGCTATAAGCCATCTTCGTGTCAGCGCGGTTATTACTGAAAAACAAGATTGAAACACAAATTGCTTGTGGTAGGAAGGTACCCCAAAAGAGCAGTAAAATGTAGAGAATTGTGCTGACGGATTTTCGGTACTTGGTTAGATTAACAGCCGCGGGCTGGCCAAGGTTTTGACTGGCTTGGTTTATAGCCACGACCTGAAGCTGTTGACGTTTGATGATGCAGAAAACTTTAAAGTAAGAAAACGAAGTTATTGCAAGGCAGATTACACTCAACGATCCCATTGTGAAAAGATCGAAAAAGTCGCGGATGGATTCTTGAGAGACTAGCCAGAGGCGTAACATCGAAAACGGCACGAGAGCTAGAAGAATTGTCGCAAAGATGAAATAAGCACGCCGCACTGTTATGAACGAACGACGACTCATGTAGAACCATCTTTCTATTGCCATGACAGTGGCTGTAACAATTGTTACAGAGTAAAAATAACGGCCAATAGTGTTGAAAATTCTTAACGCAGTGATGCGAAGTGTTTTGTTGTCGAAGAGGCTGGGGTTACCAAACATATAAGCTATAAAGGCTGGCTGGGTGATTAAGCCTGTGAAAAAGTCTGTTATCGCGATACCATCGAGGAAAATGTAAGATGGCGTTCTGAGGGAGCTGTTTCGCCATATCGTTGCTATGATCAATGCGTTACCTACCACTGCCACCGGCGATGATACAATGTTAAAACCACATATTAAAATAACGTGTGCTCTTTGTAACTGAGCCATGAATGATAATGAAAAATGAAGGTTGCCTTTCCGAAAAGAAATCGAAGAGTTTTCAGTAGTGGCTGCAATTAGCTTGCAGTGAGGATATTACTTCAACTCAGTTCCTGAGCACGCTAACGAAAAGTGTAATGTCCTTGAAAGTTCTTTGAACACGTTGATCGAAGCAAAAATTCTGTGGAAGTAGTAAAAAATGAGCTCTTTGAACTCGAGTCTTCGGCTCTTGAAGGGTCATGGTAATTAAAAATACATGTATTTTTTAAAAATTTACATTGTTTCATTATTTTTGGTAATAACTGCGACGAAAAGTACTTGAACTTGATTTTTTCTTTTTTCATTAGCATTCATTACTTGTCACTTTCTATGCCTTTTTAATAAGTTTTTCTTAATTTCCGTCATAAATTGACGTTGTTTTGTTTAGTATAAAAAATCGTCCGTGAACTTAGTTTCGCTGTATTCTTTCTCTTCCTCCGTTTGCTTGGACGTTCGCCTTTAAGCAAAAGGAAGAGTTCATGTAGTCGTGCTGTCTTCGCACATGTATTCTTTTCTTCAAAAGATATGTAGGTTAACTTTAACTTCTCCTTTGCTCAAGGAAATTGAAATACAATATATATTTGTTCAATGAACAGTGACATTACACAAGATATATCGATAGAATTTAATTCAACTGCGCCTTGTTGTACCTAGTTGTCAGTGCTAACAGGAAATCTTCTTATTGTCAGCATTGAAAGCTTATGTTTGTTTTAGAAAAAAAGAAAAAGCCCTGTTTACGAAGCTTTCAATTTAAGACATCTGTCACGAAAAGAATAGGTTGTAATTAAAAGGGCTACTGGGAATTTATTGAAGTCAATTATAAGCTAACATTTTTCAGGAAGCAAGGAGTAAATAAAATGGGAATGTGATGAACTTTTCTTGGAAGATTAAGTACTGGAAATACAATGATTTGACCCTTTTTGGTGGTTCTGTGAGAACATTTCATTTCCTGTCCAGTGTAGTCAATGGTGATGGAAAGTGTTTAGTGCTCTTTCACTGCTAGACGACTTTTCTTGAACTTTCTTTTGTTGTGGAGTTAAAGCCTACAGAAAACTACGAGCAAGGCAAGCGCGAGACAATCAAAGATGGCGAGACACGCGCGACCTTGTAAGAAATGAAAGCCTCGCACGTCGCGCGTATCTTGCGCTCCACGCCCACGTACCTCATCCCTGTCTGCGCTCGCCAAACTTAAACACGCAAGATAAGTCTGTTGTGCATGCTGGTAGTTGCGGTAAAAGTTGCAAGAGAAAAAAATTAGCATGGTTCCTGTTGAAGCCGAGTGTTTGAAACGTCAAAACGTAAAACATGTGAAAATTGGCAAATCCCGGAAATGACTGAAACAGCAAGGTAGTTTACAGAAGTATGAGCAACAACTCATCTAACATAGTAGAGATAAGGATATTATTCACCGTTGTGTGTCTATTATATATATGGCTCGTTTATCGTTTGTCTCAGCATATACACTTTATTGGTCCCGACTTTTTTAGTCTTTTGACCACCTACTGCTGGTCTTCAAAAGGCGATGGTGTCGATTAGCTGTGCAAGACTATAAATTAAATGGCAACGTTGTTACCGGCGATTGGTGTATTACGGTTGCTACTACTGCTGACACTATAATGATTGGTGAATTGCGAAATTCGTGGATGGTAGGTTTCGATCCTAAACATTGTTAGCATTGATAGAGATGTTATTGTTAGCATTGTTAATGCAAGAAGCTGATGGTGGGCATCCAAGGTATTGCTTCCTCCGGTGATGCTGTTAGGGGGAAGAAGTCTTCTGTGGATAGCCTCTTACGATAGTGCACAAGTAAGGGTACGATCAAGTAAAGTCAATGTACTTAACCTCGCCCCTATGTCGATAGTGCCCGGTCTTATTTGCGTTTTCTGAAGCGCCTGAGGTCGGAGAACGGCTTTCACGAAGTCAGACCTGAAAGTGAGGTTAATAGTGCACCAATCAATAACAACCTGCAAGTGTAGATTATCGAGAAATATTAAGTGCTACCCTCAATAAAGACTGATATTTCTTACTTAAACACGGCGCTTTAGTTATAGTCCCGGACAGCGAAAATATACCATCGCCTCATGAAAACACGATCCTATCAAGTGTATCTTTAAAGTCAACACGCTTATCACTCGAATATCAGAAGACATGTTTATTAATAATTATAATCCACTGATAAATTTTCGCGCGATTTTATAAACCCCTTTCTGGCTTGCTGGTAAAACGGAGGACAATGCCCTTGGCTGAGAGATTGTCCTCAAAATTTCACATTTGCTCTCGAAGCTTCGCTTCCCGGGCAAATATTTATTTTTCGGACAATCTCTCAGCCGCAGGCGTTATCCTCCGATAAACCAGCCGCCGAAAGGGGTTTGTTTACTAATTAAAATCATAGGACTCTGCGGTCCCTTGCTGTCGTGGTCACGTGATCCTCTCTATCTTATGTTTCTCCAATCAATATCATCAAATTTCCTTGGTACTTGTGCGAATGCTTGAGGAGGCTTTGGTATAGGAATCTGCCATCCCTCGTTCAAAGCATTATTAGCCGACATGATCGCACCTTCAGCGTATCCCCTGTAGGGATGGTAGGCACTACCAACGACGTAGATGGACTCCCCTGGAAATGGTTTCTTAGCCCAGCTGGTGACTTGTTTCATTGACACTCCGCTGCCCGGTCTCTGAAGGTACCTGGAAAATGAGAAATTAGTGGTACTTATCGTTGTAATTGGTTAAAACCCGGAAGTCATGTGATAAGTAAATGAAATATGATTAGAAACAAACATTCCAACACTGAGTGACACACACACACGCACACCAACCCACGGCTAAACCCACGGCCTTATCACGTGGCAAAATTGTGGCACGAGTGACAGGATTGACTAGGGCGACTGGGGAAACTGGATTGACGTTAGCGACTGCAATGAATGGGCTGACTTGGGTGACAAGCAATTCAAAGGCCCGGTGGCTTGGGTGGTTAGCGGGGCCACGGGGGTGAGTTTTCCTAGCTTTCTCAGATGAATCCTGCTCACTCCGGAGCAACTTCTTACCAGGCTCCCTCGTCCCAATACTGATAGACGGTGCTGATTGGCCTAGGAATTGTCCTTTTGAACTTGTATTCCAAGGTGCGGTGAATCTCATCATCAACCATGGCTTTTGGTAATTTAAGAACATCGCCCCATTTTTCACCACAAGGGCCATCCTTGTATGCTACATGAAGCACAGCTTCGCCATTTGGACCACGCTCACTAAAAGCAGAAAGAATCATTTGATACGGTCTTAATTTTAATTTTTTTGGTGGTAAGAAACAAAGTTAGATATAATAGTTTGGCCTGGACAGAGAGAGAAAGGATTGTAGTATTAGAACCCTTTAAAGCGCTGGAAGGGGGGAATTGCCCCTCTTTAATAGTAGTAATCAGGAACTAATCGGTTCTTGTATTCATCCTCTCTTAAGTACAGTCATTTAAACCACGATTTGACTAATATTTTCTTGTTCGCCATTGATCAAAAAAATTTGAAAATGCTGCCAAAAAATACGCGACATTCTTCAAGTCGAAGGCCACAAAATGATATTCAGCTATTTTACTCGTCCTTATACGAGGTACCAGAAGCCTACAGACTCCTGAAGAGGGTCAAGTGACTTACCTGTGAGGTACCGTCGACCCCAGACAGTCGCTATTGGATTCGAATCTCTCCATGGGATACAACCGATTCATCTTATTTGTGTACTCCTCCCACCACGCCCTTGAATAAACAGCCGCCCCCTTGAATGCCGGCCTCTTCATAATCGACTGGTAAACAGGATCGTGCTGAATCCTTTCAGCGATGTTACCCCTGACTTTGCAGAACGAGCCAGGAGGTGCGGCGATCACAAGTTTTGCTGCTTTGACTTCATACTTTGGTGTCTTTATCACGAACAAACCAGCCCGTTTGTCTATTGAAACGGTCCTGTAGTCTTTCCCCGCAAATATCTTCGCTCCAAGGTTTCTTGCAGATTTAGCGAGAGCGTCCACGAAGGCGGACATTCCCCTTTTCGGACGGAACTCTTTTCCCGAGAGTAAATTTAGCTGCTTGTAGTATTCCACCACGCCTTCAGGACTTCCTTTGAGGTCACCATCGTAGCCAAAGACATCAAAATAGTACCTCGATCCTTCAGGTGTCAGGAAATGGTGTTGAAATGTTTCAAATGTCGCGAAGTTGCTGATTTGGCTCATATGTTCTGGTTTGACGAGGTAGTCCAACATCTGTGAGCAGCTCATGTCCCTGAATGTACTGCGAGTTAAAGTTGGAAACGACTGCCTTTTTAATTCTTGTTCATCTCGGGATGCATTCCCTCTGGTTTCTGTGTTTGGGTTGGGATAAAAATTCCACTCCGCAAAGGGGATGTTTAACCTGGAAATAAGTTCCCTGAAGAAAAGCAAAATAAAAAATTAGTTTCCGGGCAGAGAAGCTAATAATAGTGAGTTTTAAGTACTTTCTTGTTATTTCCAGATCGAAATGAAATAATTTGGAACAGTTGGAAGTGTTGCATTGATTTTTTTCAAGAGAGGGTAAAACCAAAAATGTGCAATCTCGACCCAGAGCTCTTCTGCGCATTTAGAGGAGAGAGATCACGCGCATTATATTCTAAAAGCTGTAAGCAGTGGGGTGGAGAATGCAAAAATTGCGGAGTGCTCTCACCAATGCTCACGCATCGCCCTTGTCAGTCCTCTGCAAGAACTGTAAGAGCACCAGTTTTATCGAAGGACAATTGTTTTTTTTTGTTGTTTCTTTTTATTGTGTCAGGGTACACCCAAGCTGATGAATTCCCAGCACTCATGCTGACAGCAGAGCGAGCCCTTACTAGATGAAAATCGTTTACTTTTATAATAGTTTAATTTGTTTTATTTACCACATGTTGTGATGAACCTTGTCAATTCTCCAAGCTCCAAGACCTGGAACCAAAATAAGTATAAGTTAAGGATCAGCGACTCGTTTGTCATCCTAAAAGTCGCGAACGGGTAGCCAGGAAGCCGAATCATGGATACCTCACTTTTTTAAAACGTCCTTCTTCTTTTTACAAAGAGAAAGGTTTCACCTGTGCGCATAAAACGGCTCACCGGGGCCAAACACGGAAGAAGCCGACCGTTTATTTTCCTTCACATTAACATTATTGTTGCCTAAATCAGTTTAAAAGATTGTCACTGATCCTTTAATCAAAGTCAACCTGTCCCTTCTCCTTAGTCGAAGTCACCGTGCCTTTCCACCCTTCTTTTACCACTCCTCAGCGCAATGTCTTCAAAAAGTTGTATCTCTGGAATCTGTGGATAAAATCCTATGGTATGACCATTAAATTGAAAGCTACTTAGCACTTATGACATGGTAATCTTTGCTTTGCATGTTTTTAAGAGAATGGAGATTAGCTTCTTTTCTAGCAAATTTTATCATAGCATGGAAGAGAGTAATTGCTTGACGGCTTGAACGTCCAGGAAAAAACTCCTAACCGTCTTACTCACCTACTACAGTATCCGGTACTTGGGGAAAAACATAATCGTAAATCCTTCCTCCAAGACGAGCGTCCCTCTCAAAGACGCAAACTTTAGTTTCTTTGCCGTGCCTCAGGAGGGACTCGGCTGTGTAAAGGCCGCCGATACCTCCTCCAACAATAACCACGTCACAATCCTTTGGCACTTCTCCTCCTCCCACTCCTCCCCCACCTGTTTAAAGCAAGTCATTGATTCACCACTCTTATGACCACTGCACTGACGTTGATACTAAAATCACTATTGTTTAGCTAGCACTTACGAAAGTAAGAATCAATAGAGAGTGGTCCTCTTGCGAGATCTTATAATATTACTGCGTAATACTATAATTATAATAAAGACAGGAGTCGTGGCTGCTTTAAGGGCGCAGGACCAAGGGTGGTGAAAATTTATTGGTAGTCTGTTCCAGTCATTCAGATTGTTATTGTAATTGTAATTTGTTTACTCAAAGAGATGTGAGCAGGCAAAACTGCGAGGGGTGGGGTAGGGTGTGAGAGCGAAGGAATGCGCTCTTTCCTTTGTCCTCTTCCAATCGTTTTTTCCAGCTGTCTGACTTCGCACCGCACTCCGCTATATGAATACCCTACGCTACGAAGGAGAAACCACTGCTGCAGGGTACTATCACATGAACACATGAAAGAGGCTATAAAATTGATCGATTGTCACCGCTTCGGGAGATAAAATCTAAAATTACCGCCTCTAGATTGAGTTGTGGCCGCCATAATACGAGGTAATTTAGTCGAAATTTTCCGAAGAGTACTCTCGTAATTCTTATAGGGAATTCCCCTTTGGAACTGTAATGTTACAAATACAAGGGTGAATCGGAAAAATTCTGAAACTTGGAAGGCTTGCACTATCCTTCACTTTTATTTGTAGTAAGCTTATTCTTGATAACAGGAAGGCATGCAGCCGGCTCTTTTTCATTAGAGCTGAGGTACATGTAATAAAACGTGTTCCTACACTATACTTACAGAGTCCACAAGTCTTTTTACAGGCCTTCCTAATGTTCACCATAGATTTGCAGTATGTCTTGTAATGCCTACAGAAGGTTTCAGGCTGTAGATCTTTGCATTCTGGAAAACAAGAGGCTAACATAAAATTTACAAATTTGGGAACGGCACAACTTTATTAATTGTAATTTGAAGGTGTATTGTGACCTTGAAGTATACATATTATTGCGTAAAAAATTCTAACAGTTCTCCTATAAATCATAGTGTTATAATAGAGTAATTACTTTAAACTTGTTTTGCCTAATACCAAAATTACAAAAGAAACTTTCATTTTGCAGGGGGTGGAAAATCATTTCAAGTAGGAATTTGAGAAAGAGAAAATATTTCGGGCTTTTAATTTTCAGTTTCACATTCTTGAAATGAAGCGTAGTTCCTTATCTATCGTTACAATCCAAGTGCCACTCATAATTGAGGATTATAACAAGAAACAAATTTTCTCAATTTGAGATGATTACACTCGCGGCCAGTCAAGTGACTTACTGTTGGTCTCACGAGTAGTTTCCTTTTGATCATTTGTTTCATGGAAAACTGAATAGAGGCTGACAATGGTATGAAAGTGGATAAACTACAAAATAGACATTGCCAGAAACTGACAAAAAAACGAAAAGCTTTCTCTTTTCTTTTACCTTGTGACGATGTGACACAGATGAAACTTAATAAAATGAGAAAATAAAACCTCTTCATCTTTTCCTTCCGACAAGCTTCTCTTCACAGCTAACACTAAGTTTCGCTTGTCGTCATTTTTTTCACCTGCACACATCAAACAGCTGAATACATATTATATATCAAGCCTAGAGAGCGCCTCTTCTAACGAATACTCGACTCCCCTTTCATTACAGTAGGAGTTCACGTAAAATCCCCACGGATAGGAATAAATGAACGTACCTAACGACTTAACAGACTATCACTATACCTATATACGAACCCTTAAATGGATGTGATTCTAGAGTTTTTAGCTGGAACAAAAGGGGTCTGGAAGAGGGTGCCTTTAGGCGACTAGGCGGGGGTCCCGGTATTCAGATATCTTTTCGGGTAGGTACGTACCCGTATCGCCGCCCTGGCCCCCTCCAAATTTGCACCTTGGGTTAGAAAGAATGATTTTGCCTTCAAAGTTATACTAGAAATATGCTCGTCCTAGGTTTATATTTCGTTGCTTATATATATTGTCAATTTTTTATGCCTTCCAAATATCACAGGCCGTTCTAAAATAAATATATTTGAATATTGAAGTCTAGTTTTCAGTGAATTGAAGGGTCCCAAAATCACAAACCTTTTAATGGGTGGCACCTACCATTGTGGGGAGTGGGGGGGAGGGGGGCTCTCTCCTCCCCTGAGTTGGCACATCCTTTGAGTTTCTACCATTTATGGCCTGAAAACCTTAAGGCAGCTGTTGAGTCACAGCTGTCCTTATTTTCAGTTACAAATAACGTGGCTTTGATGTGTAGCCAAAACATCCAAACTCTATTTGTTTTGTATGAAGGAAGATGTTCTTCGCATGCAGTAAACTTCATCGGTATTGACTTGGCACATGTTAGTTGCCGTCATTCGTCTTTGTGGTCTTGTCTAGGGTTTCTTCCGCTTTTAGAACCGCAAAGTCTAGCTTCATCGCGTTTTCCATAAATCTTGGTTTTACCGGTCTCAGCAAGATCATAAATGGCGCACCTGCAAGTTGGGAAAGAAAAATCAACGATCCATGTTTTTGATCAATTCAACCAGTATCGCTGAAGCCCAGAACCAAACAGACATGCTGTGGTCCACATTTTGTGATATCGCACAGGGAAAGGACTGCCATGAGAGTAGCATTGCAATGGGGCAAAATGTTCTACTCTTCCGACACTTGTGTATAAATAATTTTAATTGTTCTGTTGATTTTCGAGAATTTTCACGTTACACAACAATAACAAAAAATATTATTGTATTCCCTTTCTATGTAACTGAACGATCTGCAAAAATCATGCAATTGAAATGCCTCACACAGAACAAATTTTGTTCCCTTTTACAGTGCTTCCGTTTCTGAGAGCCCACTGATAATTTGACTATCCCACGTCCACCTGTATGTCAACAATCACTAACTGTCATTTCATGATGCTTCGTTGTATTTTTGCCGCCAAAGGGTCATAAATCAAACAGAAAAGTCGGCATGTTTATGCCTTGTTTATACAGAAGCCCACATATTGATACTGAGTTGTACTGGCCTGTCAGACAGGCTCCCTTCCAGAGAATGGACATCCCACAGTTTTTCCGCTCGTTCTTGCTTTTTCTCCACCAGAAAGAGTTTGTTTGTAGCAGTCTTCTCCTGGCCTTTGCGACCATGAGATCGGATCGGAGTTTTCCCTGCTCCGGCAGGGTAGGAGTTTTAACAAAATGGTGAAAACAAGATGTAGCCTGAATATGTGAATAAATGAAGACAAGATGAAATAAAGGTTTTTTTTAGCCATTTATGTTTTTAGAATTTCAAAGATAATTCATTAAAAGTTAATCTAAAGAAATCTTTGAAAAGGGGGGTTTGGCGATTGCAAAAGAAAAAAAATATTCCCGAAAACTCCTTATTGTTTGTTGTTCTGTTCCAGGGTCCAGCACTCTGCTCTTCCGAATTCCGCAGTCCAATCCATATAATTCTTAATATGTATTCATTTACTAAAACTTTGCCGATACCACTCACTGAGGCGTTGGTGGTATAGTGGTGAGCATAGCTGCCTTCCAAGCAGTTGACCCGGGTTCGATTCCCGGCCAACGCAAATGTACTTTTTTTCGTCTTTTCTTTTTCTTTTTCTTACAAATCAATTAATTGTTATAATAAGGCATTTTAAACAAAAAGTTGCTATTTTAGTAAAAACATGTGCGACAAAAAGCTACGGATGGACCCTACGGATGAAGATGAACATGGTTGAGAACCCAGGCCCCACACGGTCGCTTAAATGGCCCCGCGCGCTATTTAAATAATAAAAGCTCGCAGCAAAAATAGAGTAGTCGAACGCAATTCGAACGCTTGAACAACTGGTAAAGATGACAAAATATAATGTTTAATTGTACAAGATTTTAGACAAACGTTGGTAAATGAAGGAAAAAAAATGAACGGCCCGACCAAAAGAAAACTAAGAAGAAAAAAAAACACAAGACCGCAATCAACTGCCGCTACCTTTGCTTATTAAGTTATAAATTCAATACAATAAAGAATCTTGGCTTATTTATGTATAGTGCTTACAGAAGATTCTTTTTACAATAATGTTACTTACAATATTATAGCATTTTTTGACAATTACAAAGAAAAAAAAGAAAGAAAAATGGTGTACCAGAATGTTTTAACTTTAACTATCATGATGAATTGATAGTGCCGGGGTCTACTATCTACAAGATCTTACTAGTTCCGGCTGTCATCATCGATTTGTTACCGTGGTTTTGCTTACTCTAGACTAGTGGTTCTTGTTAAAATTAATAAAGACAAACATAAATAAAAGAATAAAATGTATAACAGGGAAAAGAAAACAATAATAAATAGCATATGAACCCGAGATACAGTACAGCTGCGCTCTCACGCACCCAACTGAAGGCTGCAACTTGGCCCAAAACTTCTTCTTTCCCAAGATTATCCATGACATGAGTGGTCATGATCACAAAAGTTTCAGTTTTTCCAACAGATGTCGAGTAATTAATTCTTGTCTCAAATGTAAAAGTGATATGCCTCCACTGTACAGTTGCTGCGCCTCCAACAAGGTGCAAATTGCTGCTCGTCTTCGTTTTAGCTTAAATTTCGTCGGCTGCTTGGCAGGTTCTGTTGGGCCATTCATGGTCGAGGAAGCTTTGTCGCCTTGAATGCCTTCACAGATATTGAGCCTGAATAATGGAATTTCTCTTGATTGGCCAGAAAAATTGTTTGAGTGTCGTAGACACCCAAAAAATTGGGTTAAGGAACCCTCATCAACCATTTTCATCAGTGGTGCCTTTTTTGCCAGCTGACTATGCTCCATGATCTATCCTCGCGCTGTGACCAAACAGTCCTAACCAAAAGGGAACATACGTGTTCTGATCAAATATGATAAAATCTCTCTATTTATTTGTCAGTTGCTATTGTATCGGCAATCTTTACCGACTGAAAAGGGATGAATTCCAAATGAGACAAAACGCAAGTTGGGTTACGCCTAATTTGCCAAAAACGTGGTTAGTTGAAAACTCAACCGGGTACATCGTGACCTATGACATAGAGAACACGAGTCCGCCATACCCAAGGACTTTTTCCTGGCAATTCCCAGGGAGACATAACCCAAGGTTCGCTACCAAAACGTGCTTATTTGAAAAACTCAACCAGTAGAGCATGACTTTATGACGTAGTAGAGAACACGAATTGAATCATACCCGAGGGTTTCAGTTTCCTGGGATTTCCTAGGGACACATAACCCTAGTTGGGATACGCCCAAGTTCACCAGCAAAACGTGTTCAGTTGAAAACCTAATCTGAAGAAGCGTGATCACTAGTTCCTAGGGCTTTTCTTTAGGTCCTGGAAACGAGGTTGTTGAGAACACACGTAAAAAAGAACACTTCCATAAAAACTTTTCTCAATTGTTAAGCTAAGTAACATTACGAATATGATGGAATAATCAAATGTAGTTTTACTTGGGATATTGATGGCGACAAAGAAATGGGCACGTGAAATGAATATTTAATTTTGTTAGCAGCTAAAGTTCTTTGACGTCCGACGGCTCTCTTTTAACTTCACAGGTTTCTAATGCAACATCCATTGAAGGGGATGAAACCACAGGCGGCCCAAGCTCAGTATGAGAGTTTTTAAAATCATTCAGAAACGTATGGTCTCATATTGCGTAATCCTTAAAATGGTTGTGAACATAAAGGATTTGTATGGGAATTCAGGTAAAAGATTGCAGAAGATAAATACTCGCTAGAATTTTGAATAAGATACACCTTGCCTTATTTACTTTGCTTATTTTTTATTGCTATGTGGTTATTTTCCCATTGCGATTTAAAGGAAATCGTTTAAATCGCAATCAGGGTTCTATCAGTAGGGTATTTGATGGGTAGAAGCTTCCCCCCCAAAAAAATACCCAGCTTCCTCTCCAACAGTATATAAGTAGCTATATCGGAAAATCATCCAGACGCGACGAGGTCAGTGCACACGCTGTAACATTTCTCAATTTTTGCGATTTAAGCGATTTCCTTTAAATCGCAATGGGAAAATAACCACATAGCAATAAAACATAAGCAAAGTAAATAAGGCAACGTGTATCTTATTCAAAATTCTAGCGAGTATTTATCTTCTTGAATCTTTTACCTGAATTCCCATACAAATCCTTCATGTTCACAGCCATTTTAGGATTACCCAATATGAGACCACAGGTAGCCCAAGCTGGAAATATGAGCATCGGTATTGTTGCGTAACATTCGAAATATAACTTTGTATGGGGAAAAACCTATCGTTTCTGTAACCTACGAAAATGAAAGAATTTCGATAAAAATCAGCTTACCGTACTCAAAATTTGAGTTACGTCTCTCCTGTGTGGTCCATGGGCCGATTTATGGCCGTTTTACAGGTTGTGATGTAACCGGTTTGCTCTCTACATATCCCATTTCACTTCATACAGAGAAAACCCAGCAATTTGCTGGTTTTCAGCTGTCACGCCATTCAAAATAGATCAAAATAAAATCAAAACCATTTGACAGATAAAGTCCAGAATCTGGGAAATGAAAGGAGGTAAATATACAAAGACCCTCGCCAAGATTTGGGTGGAAGGAGTAATTCGTATACAAGATATCCGAGGAAGTGTTTTACCCAAATTTATAGAGCTTTGTATAGAGACGCCACGCTGGAGCTCATCTGGATGAGCTCCAACAAGGCGGACGAACTGAAACCAAAAGCGTGAATTTACTCGTAGAGGAACTCATAAACATTAAAGTAATACTTTTTTTCATGATACCTGAACTGTTTAGATAGCAAAATTCCTCGAAAAAAGTTACTTTTTAACGTAAATGACAGCTCTCTCGGCCGTCATGTAAATGCTGCGTCACGCAAAAGCTTATAAAGAAATTCAAGCGTACTCTATTTAACAAAACCAAGAAACCTTTTTAAGCGAAAATTTGTTTGAAAATTAGTTTTCAGCTGCTCTAATACACCATGAACGTAAAATCTCAGTAGGATCGATAGTTTTGTAGTTTGAATTCTTTTGACGTCATGCGTAAACCATGAACCATACAGGGAGATGTTACACACAATTTATGTAAGGTAAGCTGTTTTTTTATTGAAATCTTTTAATGTTCGTAGGTTACAGAAACGATGGGTTTTTTTCCCATACAAATCCTTATATTTTGAATGTTACGCAATATTTCGAGCTTGGGCTACCTGTGATGAGAGATTTTTAACTCCCAATGGGGTACCTGTGGTGAAACTTCGTCGATGGACGAGGAGGACTCAGCTCTAGTTTGGTACTTGGGACAGCAAGCCAACCTTTGTTGACCTTTTTTTTAAAACTTTACACGAACCTGGTTATTTTGAGGATGAAAGCTCTCTTTCTTTTTCTTCAACTTAAAACAAGGTATGTTTCGTCTCTTAAATATAAATACCAAAGTTTTTAATTTTCTCCGACATATTATTGTCTTTATTCAGTCATGATCTGTGAGTTCGGATCCATCCGTCGGATTGTACTTCGTTTTATAAATTTACCTCATTTATAAGCTTATAAATTCTCGTTTCCAAGCTTTTCCGGTTGTCCTACTCTGAGAGAATTTTCAGCCTTGAAATATACTTGAATTTACATGCAAAGCACTCGAAGTTTGGTATTTTTGTTCGCTTAATAGCTCTGAATTGGATGTTCAAGGTGATCTTCAATGTATTAATTCGATAATCTGGTCAGAGATCATGTAAAAACACAGTTTAGGAGTCAGGTATATGGGGCGTGCAAGAAACCGTTGATTTTTTCAGTTGTATAACTGATGGTATAGCGATTTTTCTTGTTTGTAAACAATGTTTTTACCAACCACTGTATCAACAAAAGAACCTATTATTTCAGAGCCAATGCTTACGTAACAGGGCGGCATAACCATTACTGTGAGGGGGATATCGGGGGATACCCAATACCGCAATGCCGTGAGAAAGAGTGGCAAATACCGAAATAGCATGTCGAAAATCGACAAAATATCGATACTCCATTTATGATCAGTCACGCTTACTTAATTAAGTTGTATCCATCTCACATGTTCGATTTTCTCCAGCATATATGCACCGAGATATGCACCAGCAATCAAACTCAGCCATTGTGAAAAAACGTGAGAAGACCTCAAACTGATTGGTACAATGATCGAAAAGCGCACATACTGGATGCCTTACCAATAGTGGTGTAACACGATTAATCGAATTCTTGATTAATCGCGATTATGACTGTTCGGTTCGATTCGTGCACGATTCTTTGCTTCCACGTTTTGATTTTGGTTCGATTATTGCACACCTTTTCCAGGGTGCCCTTAGTGAGTTATTATATCGTAAAATCGGGATCCAGAACGCTTTAAATTGTGCCTTTATGACTGATGAGCAAAGACGATAGCATTTCGTGCGCTATTTTGTGTTGCCTGGTGAAAATGCTGTCCTTCAACCACCCCTGGAGAATTTCCAAACAAGGCAAACTATGTGCGACATATTCTTTGTCAGGTTTTCAAACATGGCGACGAACCAAGTGACTGTGAATCCTCCTGTCCATGCTACTCTTCTCAAATTGAGGGTTTAGGGTTGCATGTTGTTTACATTACGCGTTATGTTATAAGAATTAAGAAACATTTGCATAATCGAATCAAAATAATCGAAATTAAAATCGAAAGGCAATAATCGAAATCAAATCGAACCGCAAGGGATATGAATCGTTACACCCCTACTTACCAATTTCGTTAAAGATTAAGTGTCAGAAATTGTGTAGTCATTTTCCTTTAAAAGTCTAAAAAATATTTATCTGTATTAGAGAGGAGAGGGTAAATGAATAGTGCCGTAATATCATGAAAGATCTTTTACTGAATACTGTTAGCCAAAAGGATGAAAAACTGCAAAATGGAGNTTTATCTGTATTAGAGAGGAGAGGGTAAATGAATAGTGCCGTAATATCATGAAAGATCTTTTACTGAATACTGTTAGCCAAAAGGATGAAAAACTGCAAAATGGAGGCCTAGATGGTACTGCAATACCACAGATTAAAATCAAAATTACTGAAATACCACTTGAAAAAAAAGGTTCAATACCACAATACCATACACACAATGTCCCCTCTACTGTGTTCTGATCTTTAACTAAGGATATGTTTTTAAAAAGGTCCAGAAGTAATTTCTGAATGGATAAACTGAAGCAAATACTCTGATAACAATTAATTTTTTATATTTTGAGACTCGTTGATTCAAACCAAGACTCACTCCTATTCATGATATGAGTCCCAGGACTCATCACTGCAATTTGTAACAAAACCACAGCTTACCATGATATTTCTGCTCCAGGACATTGCACATTTGATTCATTATTGAAAAGCATGGCCAGTGAGGTAGATTCTAGACCTCAGAAGCTCATTGACATTATCAAGGAGAAAGTTGAAAACAACAACCAGTTCTTCTCACTGGAATTCTACCCACCAAAGACATTCAATGGTGCAACTAATCTCATGGGCATCATTGGCAGGTTGAATGAACATTGTACACCACTGTTCTGCAACATAACATGGAAACCCTCACAGGATCCCATGTCAGATAAGTGTCAGCAAGAACCGAGCACTTTGTTAGTTTCTGCAGTGGCAAAAGACTTGTATGGACAGGATATTATGATTCATATCCCTTCGGCAAACACAACCAAGAGTCAGGTTGTGGAGCATCTCATTCGTGCTAAAGATCTTGGGATAAGGAGTGTGCTGGCAGTTAGAGGACAAGGTATTTGATGTTATAGAATAAACCTAGTTCAATATTATTTTTCCATAATTAACTCTCTCTTGACGGACACCTCTATAAGATGGACACTTCTGTAAAATGGACACCCAGCATTGATCCTTGCCTTTCTTTTACTCCTTTATTGGACTCTATATAACACAGACAACTCTTTTAGGTTAACAATTAGTGTCCATGTTAAGGCCGATTTAGACAGTAGAATTTTTGCTTATGACTATTGTGCGTAACTAGCATACGTCATGACTTTTGACGATCCACATGCGCACAATATTATTGTCTCTTACGACATTTACAATGTGTTGTACGAATATCATGTTGTCCTTTATTGTGAAAACTGATGACGTCACAAGCGGTAGAAAACGTGTGGACCAGCATGGGCAGTTATGGGCAGCTCAGGGGCGATTGGGTCAAAAGAAATAAAAGTGGGTTCTCATGAATTTTCACGGAACCAAAAAATTGTCACAGATGGTTTCCCATGATCTCTGGGCATGGAACCGAAAAATTGTTATCCGTGGGACTTGAAATCCTAGTGCTTGAGAACAATAGACCTCATTTAAACCTTAGTTTCATTGTTTAACTATTTTTATAGAGGAGGAGGCACCTGGATCGAGAGATGATGGATTTGACTACACTGTAGACCTGGTCAAATTGATTAAAACTGAATTTGGAGATGATTTCACTGTAGGAGTGGTAGGTAAGTTGGTAGATCAAAGTGAAGGGTTATTAATTATTCATGAATTAGGGTTTGGACACAGAGGAAATTGAGAATCAATCTAGGTTTAAAAATTTTAACTTAAGTATAATAATATTTTGACCTGTAACACATATACTTTTTGATGTCTCTTTAGCATGTGGAATTAGCTTTACATTCAAACTAGTAAAGTCATTCAAAAATAATAATAAACTGTACTTAAAATCAATACCAGCACCTGAAAGACCAAATCTTACATGTATTTGGTAATTTCACAAAAGTCCATGGATTAGCTTGTGAAGAATGTGTAGTGTCATAGTAGAAAACAGAAAGTCAATGACTGGAAAAAGGAGAGACTGGAGTTATTATGCCATATATCCTTTGGTTTCAAGCTGCAGGTATTCAAAGACATTTGAAAACTTTTACATGTACATGTATGTTCAGACAATGAAGGCAACCGTATCGCTAGACTGTATTACCAGCTGAGAAGCCTGCGGGCAAGCTCTCCATTTATGGTGACCAAAGTGAGCCGGGGGAGAACATGCAAGCGAGTGGCAAAGCTTTGAGGGGCAAAGTTCCTTTCTTGCATGACTTCTCATGATGTCCTGAGATGGGAGAGCTTTGTTCGCAGTCTGCCAGCAGAGTTTAAGGCTGACCTTACAACGTAAGTGTGGTTTCAAAGACCTCTCTCGCACCAACATAAGAATAAAGAGACCAGTGATATAAATGAGGAAATTCTAAGTGTGCAAAACACCTATAGATAAGTATCTTGGGCAGGAGGCCTTAGCCCTCCAAAACAGAAATTGCCTGGGGCACAGTCTCCACACCCCCTCCCCCCATATGCTGGTGTCAAAAATATCATAAGCGACATTACCAGTGGCATCAGCGACATCAGAGCACACATTGTATGCCCTCAGATGGCTCAAGAACTACCTAAGAAGCACCATGAAGCTGGACCACCAGAACAACTACCTACGGTTGCGTTGTCACAGATTGATTGCAGACACACTTGACACTGTGAAGGTTGCAAAGAGGTTTGCTTGTGGCAATGAACAATGCAAAGGGCATTTTGGAAAATTTGAGTAGGGGTATGGCTGAGTGAGAGATGAGCCCTCCCCCCCTCCTCATTTCAAAATGCTCCACTGCCTCTGAGTTGAGAAAGGTCTTTGAAAACATACCAGGCCATAGAAATGAATTATAGCTCTTCAACTTCTTTGTCTCCAATTTGTTGAGTTATTTGTTTGTAGGATACCTAGCTTCATCAAATGTTGAAAGTTATGAAGAAGACCTTAAGCATCTGAAGGAAGAAGTTGATGCTGGAGCAGATCTTATCATTACACAAATGTTCTTTGAAGTCAAAACGTTTTTCAAGTTTAAGGAGGATTGCCAAAGATTTGGGATAAATGTGCCAATAATTCCTGCCATTTTCCCAATTCAGGTAAAGTTTTTATTTGCCTACTTTCACCTCACGGCCTTTGTACAGACATCAATGTCACCGACGTGAGACAGATGATTGTAGGTTAACCCTTTGAGTCCCAATATCTATTTACAAATTCTCCATACTGATTTCCATTCATTTTCCTAAAGAATAAGTTGAGAGAATTTGGTAAAAGATCAAAGCATTTTCTTGATCATTCTATTAATACTCATGACCTTTTTACTTGATGATGTGTTGTTTTGTATGGAGAAAATTGGGTTTGGGCAATAGACCTTGTGACAGTTTTCGACGCCTTCTTGACGAGCGGGCAAACGTGTGAGAAATTACTGTGTAACAGTGTTTGTATGAGAATCTAATGTCGAAAGCTGTCGAATAATTTTTGTAAAACGGCTAAAAAATATGAATTGTAAACTAAAGCTTCACTCTTAAAGATCCACTGAAAAAATTTGACGGCGTTACATGAGCTAGAAGACCTTGAACCACCTTTTAAGATTTTCTATACATTTCCTGTGAAAAATTGTAGGCAAATACGTGGAAAATCTAAAGTAAGCGTCTGGAGAAATTTAAGCTCGGTAACAGCCCCTAAAATTTGTTAGTAAAATCGTTTGCTGTGTAGCTTTAGTTTACAATTCATATTTTTTTTCAGAACAGCCGTTTTACCGAAATTATTCGACATTAGATTCTCTTACAGACACTGTAATTTCTCACGCGTTTGCCTGCTTGTCAAGATGGCGTCGAAAACCGTGACAAAGTCTATTTTAGAAGGGAAATGGTTAACCTTCCCAGTGACAAGGGCCCTTACCACTGTTACCAGTTACACCCATGTTGCTTATAGTTGTTATCATCAAAAGCCTTGGAATTTACTGTAGGGTTGTTCTTTAATTTTTGATCTCATGATAACTCAAGGATAAAATCTTTATTGAGTGAGTTGTTCTTTTCCGTGTAAACTATTTTTTAGTGGGGTAAGGGTGGAGTTGGTAGGGGTTTCAACAAGCACCGACGGCCGACGAAACGCGTCGGCTACTTTTTTTGCAACTAGTTTGAATAACGTTGTAAATAAAAAATGTATCATAAAATCTGAATGAAATTCTGAATTATGATGTGCTTTAATGAAGGCTCTCTGGTTTTACGTTGTGCTTTAGTCATAAGAACGCTAGATTTCAGTCAATTTTTCACACTTTTACACAGAATTTGTTTACGAGCAAAAGTACGTAATTTAGTTTTCATCATTTGTTCATTGCCTGTAGGAATTTTTTGTCTAACTGAACAATCGAAAGTTGAGTGAATCAGTGCTACGTTTTCTTGTATAAAAAACAAACTCTTTTGTCCTCAATTTAGTCCCGAGAACTCTGAAATTCGCATTTTAGGGCTTTGAAATTTCAAAATTTTCTGGGGAAGCACGCCCCCCAGACCCCCTCCCCCTAGAAAAAGGGGACTAACGCCCCCCTTGTTGATACAGTCGGTTACTTTATTCAAACCTGCTGCCTACTTCATTTTTAATTGAAACCCCTGAGGTGGTGAGAGCATTTGCCTTCTACCAATGTCGCTTGGGTTGCAATCACCACGTTGACGACGCATGTGGGTTGAAATTGTTGTTGGTTCTTTCCCTCGCTTGGAGAGGTTTTTCTCTGGGTACTCTGGTTTTCCTCTCTGTTGAAAAACCGACATTTCCAAATTCAATTTCGACCAGGAATGGTAGAAGAAGGACCATGATGTGGATGTGCTACCTCTAAATTGTTATTCATTTATTTTACAGAACTTCAATTCCCTGCGCCAGTTAAAACGATCATCTCGCGTGGACATTCCTCAGTGGTTACTGGACATCCTCACCCCCATGAAGGACGATGATACTGCAGTAATAAATTATGGCATCAAATACGCCGCCGAAATGTGCAAGCAGTTACTTGAGAGCGGTCAAATACACGGCTTACACCTCTACACTTTAAATCGTGAAACGTCCGTCTCGGAAATCCTTAAAAAACTCTGCATATATCACATGACCGATGAGCAAGATTCGGGCTTGCGCAAATTTCCTTGGATGCCAGGGCCCGCTCTTGCGAGGCGTGGTCGGATGGAACACGTGCGCCCGATTTTTTGGACGTCAAGACCTCGCAGTTATATGATCAGAACCTCGGACTGGGACGAGTATCCGAATGGAAGATGGGGCGATTCTAGTGCAGCGTCGTTTGGAGAGTTAAAGGATTATCACTTAGCACTGCTGGGAACACATAAAAGTCAAGAAGAACTGTTGAACATGTGGGGCCGAGAATTGAACTCTGTGGAAGATGTGTGTGAAATTTTTGTTTGTTATCTGACCGGAAAGAAGAATAGACATGGATTTCAGGTTAGCACATTCCTTTGCTGACTTGTCAAATTCGTATCCCGTTGATCTTAAGGTCCAATCTGACAATAGAGAGATAAAGTACCGCATAGACCGGGAACTTCTGTAGTTAGCTGGTGATTTATCACTTACAAGCTTATCACTTGTGCTCTTTCTGTGCGCGAACCTCTTGATCTCAATATCAAAAATACTGGAAGGCCTATACTAACGATCGGTATTCCCACCCGTTCCCTGGGGAGTCCCCCCGGGGGTTTATGGCGAATAAGTGTCTTAAACGAGTCTGAATCTCGAAGAAATTTCGTTTGTTTCCAGGTGACAGAACTTCCTTGGAATCAGGACGAGCTGGCACCCGAGACACTGCCCTTTGTCGACAAGCTTGCTCATATCAACAAACATGGCATCCTTACAATTAATAGTCAGCCCAACGTAAATGCAGCACCTTCAACAGATCCTGTGGCAGGGTGGGGACGGCCTGGAGGGTACGTCTTTCAAAAGGTGAACATGCATGACTCTTTTTCGTACTAAATACTTTTTAAAGGGCTCTGTATCTCAGACTTATTATCTGGTTTGTTCGACCTAAGTAGGCTGTTTGAATAAGTCGCCGTTCCAACTTTAGAATTATAACATCAACTTGGTTCGTCATTTGTTTGTTGCCAGGAGTTGTAACCCAGCCTAAACAGAACTCGACACATTGATAGTGTTTTCAAGTACCTGCTGCTAAGCAGTATTTTCTCTCAATACTGTGCACTATGCTGTATTATGTGGTTTTAACTTTCAAGTCTCTGATTGAAATCTTAAAAATGTGACCATTCGTGTGAAAGCGACGGAGCAGTACTTTCTTGTGGAGCTGTTTATCATGCTATATTTTATAAGACGTGGCTTTAAATTTTGGAGTCTGTGGATGAAATTTTGTGGCGTGACCATTTAAGTAAAAGTTACTGGTGTTAATCATGATGTAGAAATCTTAAACATTTGAGGGGTGAAAGTTGTATGCTGTGGTTGACCTTAATTTACTCGACGAATTTATGGATGAAATGTTAAGAAATTTTATGATTACTCTTTTAGGCATATTTAGAGTTTTTCACCAGTGAGGAGATTGTGATGTGTCTTTACGAAGTACTACAGGATTTCCCACTGGTTAATTATCACATGGTGAATTTCTCGGTAAGGCTTAGATTTTATAAACCTCGACAGTTTCACACCCAGAGTCTTCAAGCATCTTGCTCCGCGGTCGCCCCGCGGGTGATCACCAGGGCGAGGAACCTAGGGACGCTGGGTTCAAGACTGAAATTTTGCCCGATGTGAACGTCCACACTCAGTATTCCGTTTTAAACGAAAACTCTTCAGAAAATAATGTAGATAAACGCAGTACCGATAAGTTAGTTATGAGGAAGAACTAGACTAAACCCACATGGAAGTTAAAGTGGTATACTAATACCAAGTGACAACCATTCCCATGGCTGAATTTTGTTACATTTGTGATAAATTTGATTTCAGATGTAGTGGTGGTGGTGGGAGTGGCGGGCGGGGAGGGGGGAGTGTAAAAAAGGGTTGGGCTTCCAATGTGGAGGTCATGAAGTGCCCCCCAAAACGCAACGCAGTTGATTTTACTACTTGACACGCGTATAACAACCATTATACTACTACATGAGATATTTCTGCAATTTGATTGGCTTAGAGCGGTGGTATTTCAGCTTAATTTGAAATACCTACATGTGAAAATTACAACCTTTTGTGGGTAGTAGTATAAACAAATAATAGCATGATTTGTACGTGACATTTGGCATAAATACCACTTGTGATATTTCAAAATTGTCTCAAATTTCACTCGCCTAACGGCTCGTGAAATTACGTATAACAATTTTGAAATATCACTCGTAGTATTTATGACAAATATCACTACAAATCATGCTATTACCTATACAAATTAAACCTCGCATCAACTGCTGCGGATATTTTCGCTTTTTATTCCAGGGAAAAGAAGATGCAACGAACGCGAACGTATACTCCTCAATAGCTGTGACGTGGGGTGTTTTTCCTGGATCAGAGATCATTCAACCCACTGTAGTTGATCCTATCGCTTATCAGTTTTGGAAGGTAAGACAATAAAACCTTACGTTCAGAGGGCAAACTAACAAAATATCATGTTATACCATGTTATAATGCTGCTCCTAGGCTCGATTTCCGCCGTCCCCCGAGTCCAGTCTTTAGACCTCATCTTCTTTCGCGGGAATGAGTGCGGGTTCATTGAATAGAAACTGGTATAAATCGCGTCGATCGACCCTATTCTGGCCCCAGTTGTTTGAAAACACAGTCCACTACGACAAAGGGAACTTAACCAACGACGACGGCGACGGCAACGAGAACATCAAAAACTCAATATGTTTAGAATGGCAAAACAGCAAAACAACAACTTTGCACGTGCATCTAGCCTGCGAGCAAGCTCTCCTATTTGGGCGAGCGAGCCTCGCGAGAACGCGCGAGCGAGGGGCCCCTGTCCCTCGCGGCTTCGCCGCTCTCTCGCGAGTTCTCGCGAGACTAGCTTCGCTCGCCCAAATAGGAAAGCTTGCTCGCAGGCTAACGTGCATCCCCCTTTTTGTACATTGCTTTGCCGTCGTTGCACGACTTCGACGTGAAACTTTCTAATTTTACGTTTGATAGGACGTAGACACAAGACAACGATTTTGTTTTTCTTTTTGTGAAGTTAGATACATTCCTTTAGAATTCGACTCCTGAAAAAATGGCCAACATTTGAAAAATTAAAATGGCTGGAAAAAGAGCGATGAAGTTTGAAGCAACGCGAATTTACTTTTTGGGTGACGTTTTCGTTGCCGTGGCCGTCGTCGTTGTTTAAGAGCAAGCTCTCCTATTTGGGCGAGCGAAGCGAGTCTCGCGAGAACGCGCGAGCGAGCGGCGAAGCCGCGAGGGGTGGAGGAAAGAAGCCCCTTGCTCGCGCGTTCTCGCGAGGCTCGCCCAAATAGGAGAGCTTGCTCGCAGGCTAGCTGCCCTATGACACCTCAGCATCTTACGCTAAGGGCCTGTTTACATGGGGGTGGGTGACCCCAGGTAGGTGAGGTAACCCGCTTAAGGGGGGTAACCCTCCTGTCGCTATAATCTCTCATTTTAATTTGATCACGTTTACATGATAGGTGGGGTGACCCGCCGAGGCGGGAGCCCGGACTGCCAGACCGGGTAACCCTCTCAGCCGGGGTCAAATTTTGGCATATAAACGTTTCAAGAAAGGGTAACCCGCCTAGCCGGGGTCGGATTCGTGATACATCAAATTTGCGCGAAATTCACTTTGGCGGTGGCTTTGCATCATTACTAAAGGTAACAATAGAAAGCCACAGCACTGAAGGTTGCAGCAACAGCAGCAAGTGAGCGTAGAAGAGCATTAACCACCAAAACCCTTGGTTTGCCAGCATTTTTCTTGTTTACGTGCTTAGCGACCATTCAATAATCTTGAGAAAGTGCACCCCTGGATGGCGGGGTTGTAAGATTGCATGTAAAGGAGGGTTATTTTTTTACCCCACCTGAGCGGGTTACCTCACCTACCTGGAGTCCCCCACCTCCATGTAAACAGACCCTAATTCACCCGGGCTCACATCAACACCTTTCACCACACAACGTGTGAGAGGTTGCCTTGGTCTGCCAACTTTGTTCCCAGGATGGACAGAGAGTAGGGAGGCCCTAGGAACAAGTTGAAAGTCTACGTCCCCCTGTCTGACCACACAGAGTTCCCAGCAGGTTTATGACTTGTATTTGTTTTTCATTAGGACGAGGCGTTCGCTCTTTGGAAGCATCAGTGGGGAAGTATTTACCCTGAGAAATCCAAGTCACGTGAGGTTATCGACACAATACACAGTACTTATTATCTGGTGAATCTTGTTGACAATGATTACGTGGCCGGAAATCAACTCTTTGACATTCTAGACATAGTCTTGAAAAAATTGGGAAAAATATAACGTGACGTAGGTGTATTAAGCCCCGTCAAATGGTGTGTGATAGTTTCAGGTGGCGCTCCCTTCCTCAGTCTGAGCACGACCTTACGTAAGGTATTTCCTTTCATGAACTATCCACGCTATTTCGATTTTCTTTGAAAAATTTTGTTGAGGTGATACTAGATGATGGCATTCCTGTATACATAAGGAACAGTAAATTTTAGGCTACTACTTGTCTGAATTTGGTGAGATTGAAAAATCGTTTGCACTTTGAATGGATAAAGTTCATGTGACGACATTTATGTCGAGTTTAAAAGAGAGCTTGGCTGACACTGCTTGTAGCGTATGTAAGAATGAAGAAATGAATCTGATATTGACAACGAAATGGCTATAAGTTTTTAAATCTCCACAAGGGGTAGTGGACAAAAGGAATAAAATTAATGTTTAAAAAAGTGATTGAAACACGTAATCGTGTAGAATGGTCAGCAAGCAAGTATTGCGGGGAGAAATTTCTTTCCAAACGACTGGATTGTCGTGTGGAAATCTAACAACAATATCAAGCTCAATCATTTTCCTATTGAGGTCGAATTTGCTGTTAATCAAAGCAGTAGGTGAAAGTTCTGGTGGTATTTAATAAAGAGATAATTTACTCAAGCATTCATGTGCTGTATTCCCCTGGGTGCCAGAGACTTTTCATGCGCTTCCGGTTTCGGTCAGGGTATGTGCTGTAATAAGAGGGCAGATTTTTGACGCTTGTGACGTCACGACCTTGTCAGGTGAGTAGCACCTTCCTTACGAGGGTCTCTCAAATCTTTGTTCAGGCTAAGAAGCCTGGTAATGAGTTTGTTCGAGAACCCTTGCTCAAATAACCTATGGGACAAATTTATTTGCTCGTGTAGACGACGCAACAAATTTAAAAAGTCAAAGCACGACAGAGGTGACTCTGGAGACATCCATGACAACAAAGCCAGGGCGCTAAGTCGTGAGTAGTGGGAGCCTGGAAACCCACGGTTATCATGAAAAGTATTTGCCACGGTAAACCTGTTACGAAGGTTTTTCGGCGACTATAATTGGCACATACAGTTTGTGCAACATTTCTTGTAAACGCGAGGAAGTGAAAATTGTCTTATCACATTTTAATCGTTTGAATGGGGCTTTACAATAGAGTTTTAATTGGACAATGTCACTTCGTGGTGCTCTAAATAGTGATGTTTTTCATATAGATATACAGGGAAATGTTTCTAAGATTATTGAACAAACCATCATGACTTTGACTTTAACGTCATCCTTTGCGTGGTACTAATCCAGTCTGTCACACAACTCTGTTTTCTCGGGGATGGGGGCGGGCCTTCTCATGCATTTACCACAAGACCAAGCATGAAAGTGGACAACTTTTAAAACTCACTTTGTGCGTTTCATCAGCCTTTTCAAACCGGGCGCAGTAACTAAATATGAAGTCCCGCGATGAAAAGTAAATCAAAGGAAATACAACTTCGTGTTTACCAACGTTTCCCGTACTTTCCACTGACAAAACGCACGACCAGTCAT